CATGAAAACAACTTTACCGTTGTTCCAAGACTCCCCTTCGTAATTACATTCGAAATTTATCTTTCGCTACATTGTTTAGTTTTGTTATACTAAAAATTAGTATACTACATTAAAATGTGTTTATCCCGATCAAAATAAAAGATTGTTTACTATATACGAGTTACTTCAATCCATGTATTAAGAGTTCTCGTATTCTTATTTTACATTCCTTATAAATAATATATACATCTTCTGTAATTTATGCAAGTATAAGCGGAAGAATAAATCACCAAAGATTGTAGTGGAACAATAAATACACATTCATCTGTAACCAGAGGTCTCGGATTTTAGCCCTAGTATAGATTCACTTTTTGTAGGCCATTTACCTCCCAAACCGTGATTTTCTGTGTGAATCTAGATTAGCACCCTTAAGTGAATATTGAATACCGAGTGAAATACCAAAAAAAAAAAATGTAAAAGGGATAAGGACCAACCAATGCATTAATGGCACTAGGTTTTATGTGAAGATTATTACTCTAATACATAAGCCATCAACCAAACGTCACCTCAAAGTATATACGTATGTTTGTTTTAGTAAATGCATTCATATCTTAGGCTAATTGAGTCAATTATGTTACCTGAATCTATTAATTGCATACCTAAACTATCAAAAAAAGGAAATAAAACTTTCTTGTTCCTTAGTTTGTCACGCATCTGCAGTCAAGAGTTTGATCTCTCTCTAATTAAGTGTATACAGATCAAGACATGCCTAATTATAGACCATTCAATTAGACAAGTCACAAATTTTCTTTGTCAGAAAAAGTGACGTTTTGAGAATTCAGAAACTGAAATGACGTCGAGAGACTTTAATAACTATAAATTATAACATTCCAGAAACTGAAAGTTGATGTGGTTAAACCTATACCCCGAACTTCACCTCGAATTATAGACTAAGGTGAGGATTACATATCCCTTAACCATAGTTAAATGATAGAAGTCTATCTATACACACTACACATGCCTTGAATTAATTGATTTGATAGAATCACCAAGTGAAACCTTATAGCAACAGTGAAGTTGTCCCTCATGACTTATAGGTCACAAGTCCGAGCCGATAAAGCAGCCATTAATACTTGTATCAGGGTAGACTGTCTACATCACATCCCTTGGGGTGACGCCCTTCTTCGAACCCTATGGAAATGCGGGATACTTTTTGCACCAGACTGCCTTTTTTTTTTTTAAGAATTACAGAGTGCGTAGAACTTTAAAAAGAAAAAATGAATAAACTTTTTTTTTATTTTGCAGTTAAAAAGAGGCATTTAATTTGGTCTACCTTCAAAAAACCTTGAGAAGTCTAATAGAAAACCAAAAAAGGAAAAGTCTCACCAGCCATTCTCTTCAGTCCTCAAGATTCAACTACTAGCCAGCAAATGTCAATGTCTTTGATTCATTCAAAACTCAGCCACAAAATTCAAATTCTCCCTAGAACTCAAAATGTTCAAACAATAGAAAGTACCTTTCACAAGCAATCTCTATATATAGCACACAACATCAACAACAACGAAAACGCCTAACAACAACAAACTCCTCAATCCCGAGCAGTTTTTATATAAAGCATACAACACCAACAACGAAAACATCTCAATTCCATGCAGTTTTCATATAAAGCATACAACATCAACAACAACAACGAGAACGCCTCAACCACAAGCAGTTTCAAGAATTCTTTTGAAACTAAACAATGAGAATTTGACTTCTTCGTAGTAGAACAAATGGGATTTTCAAACATGATAGGGAAGTATCAACTTGTAAGAACAATTGGAGAAGGTACCTTTGCGAAGGTTAAACTCGCTATTAACACTATCAATGGTGAAAAGGTAGCCATCAAGATCATTGACAAACACATGATCAAGCAAAACAATCTCGTGTGCCAGGTACGTCAGTTGGACTCTTTAAGTTTCATTTCTAAGGGCTCGATCTCCTCTCGTCTTAAGGAGTTCTTTCTCAGGTGAAAAGAGAAATACGGACAATGAAGCTCCTCAGTCACCCCAGCATTGTTCAAATATACGAAGTAAGAACATCAACGTAACGTTGCTTTCATTTCACAGATAACAATATGCTAGAATTTCCTTGAGGGGCTTACTATTAACGCCTTTTAAAATACTAGGTAATAGGGACAAAGACGAAAATTTACATCATCATGGAGTATATACTAGGAGGGCCACTATCAGATAAGATGGTGAGATACAAAAAACAGAACCAGAACTAGTACTAAAGACAGTAGGGAAGCAAAGTAAATAATACATTTATTTCCTTCTTGCAGTCATATATAAAGAGATTAGAAGAAAAAGAGGCAAGAAAATACTTTCAACAGTTAATTGATGCTGTTGGTCATTGCCACAGCAAAGGGGTATATCACAGAGACCTAAAGGTATGAACACAAGAATGATATGACTCTATTCATTAGCTTCTTAACAAACGGAATGCAAAAAGATTGAGGCAGTTACTGTCTAATGCAGCCACAAAACTTGCTTTTGGATGGCAAGGGAAACATCAAAGTATCAGATTTCGGCCTCAGCACATTGGCAAAGGCATGAACAAATAGCAAAATTTCTATTCAAGTTATAAATGCAAATGTTGATACTGATAAATGGTTAACTACTTAACTTCACAGGCAAGTTCATTGTTATCCACCACATGCGGATCACCAAGCTACGTATCACCAGAGGTAAAGATAAAATACCGTTGTACTAACTCAACTCTGCACAGAAAAGGGCTAAAATTCACGGACGAGTTCATAAACCTGCTTTTGTTGTTACAGCTGCTCGGTCAAAAGGGCTACGAGGGAGGAGCTGCAGATATTTGGTCATGTGGAGTAATCCTTTTCGAGTTACTAGCTGGATATCTACCCTTTGATGATAGTAACTTGACAAACTTATATAGAAAGGCATGCTATATATATCTTTGCTTACATTTTTCAAAAAATACTTTATTTTTGCTTGCATAATTCATTCTATATCTAATAATCTGCTTGCTGTGAAGATCTATCGAGCTAAATGCATGTTTCCACGTTGGTTCACGGAAGACCAGAGGAAGCTAATTTCCAGAATACTAGACCCTAATCCAAAAATGGTAAACTTAATTCCTACTAGAACTGTGTCAGAAAATTCCAAAAGCTGAGATCAAAAATAATGATCATTTTCCTATCAAGCAGAGGATAACAATAGCAGAAATTATTGAAGATGAATGGTTTCAAATGGATTATAAGCCAGACGTGCGCGTAGAATCCAAACAGCACAATGGCAAGGATGATCGCTATACAACATTCAATTTAATTAAGGTAAATCTGACAGAATGGAAAAGACACAAATAGATTTAACTGGAACTGACCACATGTTTCAAAAGGAAACTGAAGCAGGAAATGACGTGGACGAAAGACCATTTCATAAATGCCTTTAGGCTAATAGCAATGTCACACGACCTAGATTTGTCACGTATCTTTGAAAAAGAGGTAAGCTGAAGCCTGAGAATTGGTCATGTTTCCGATAAACCTCTTTACTTTCATGAACCTCATGATTTTCCCTCTTTCTAGGATACTGAAAAGCAGAAGACAACACTTGGATCTAAGCACACAATCCATGAAACCATAGAGAAAATAAAGGCTGCTGCAGAACATGTGAGACTATCAGCTGAAAGAATAGACAAGTGCAAGGTTTTTACCTCACTCTTTGTTTTTTTTTTTCCTTCCACTTTTAGCATGCGGCAATAACATTAAGGCTAATTCTCTATCTTATTTGTAGCTACAAATTCACCCTACCAAGATGATTAAAGCTTCAAATTCATACATTGACCTAACAGCCCGGGTAAATTACTTTAATGTTGATTTTATGCAAAACAAAGCTACCAAAATATCCCAAATGTCTATATGATGTTATATTTGTCTTCTTGAATACTTTTTGGTTTTTTTTTTGGCCGTTCATATCCAATTTTAGGTAGTTGAGCTCGCGCCAAGCAATTGCGCCATAGAAATAACAAAGTCAGAAGGTGAACTGAGATTATACAAGCAGGTACATGTCCTTCAAAAATATGAATAAAGTTGCGATCCACTCACAATTGCTTGTCATACTTACGTAATCTTTCTGACCAGTTCTGCAAAAGTTTATCAAGTATGCTAATAAAGGAGGGAAGATGCTAAAAGAAAACATGTAAAATGCAAAAGCTGGACAAAGCCCAACAGCACTAGAACTATTCAAGTATGATTGGAGTGCATTAACTTGACCGTAAAATGGTGCAGAAAGGTTAGCATGCAAGGAACACTCAAGTGCCTGAAGAGCATGTTTACCGTAAAAAATATCACAATTTCTCCGAGGATAACAAGTTTGGAAGTTCAAAATGGAAAGAAGAGCAGAGACTTGAGCTTCAGAGGTTATACACGGCTAGAAACTAGGAAGCAAACGTGTATCGTTTTTTCTTTTGGCTTGGCTCGGGGGGGTTCCTCCTAGAAAGTCCTGATGCTACACTAGAAAAGAGAATACTAATTGTAAGAAATGGTGCGCGAATCAATTTAATGCACAAAAAGGTATAAAACAAAAGGTGATGTACGAACAGGGGCGGACCTAGAGTATTGAGTATGGGTTCCCGGGAACCCAGTAACTTTTGCGTAGACCCTGTATTTATATTAAGAAATTCACTAAATATTTATAAATATCTAACTGTGAACCCAGTTATTATTGCATATTAATTTAAAATTACGGTAGGAACCCATAAACCTCAAATCCTGGATCCGCCTCTGTGTACGAACAATGATGGATATACTAATGCAGTATGTTTATACCAATCAAAATAGTAAAAACAGCACATTATCTGACCTCAGGTAACGCAATACATCAGCAAGAGTAAAGGATTAAAGGTTCATCTGAAAAGATATGCAGAAGGTGAAGTTCCCTATATAGTTGCCCGAAGTAGACACAACAATAAGTAACAGCATGCCCATCCTCAAGTGGTCTTACAAAAGATGCGAGTAAGAGACTAAAGAATACGATAAATAGCACTATGTTCATGGAGAAAAAATAATTTGTGAATGCAGCGATTACCGCCACTTTGAACATTTCTTTCAATTTAACGTAAAAGACAAAATAAAGGAAGCACAAATGAAAGAAAATGACAAAACGCATTGCAAAGATTCTGATCAACTACAAATTTGTGAGGTTCTTGAAGATAACACTCACACATGATATACATGCAAGAAGAAACAATTTGGCAATGATGCTCAGATCCGTGGTTATGCATGTGATTAGGACCTTGGAATGAAGTACCATAGGCGCTACCGATAAGCAAAAGGAACTATCACCGAGACAGCCAATCCTCGATGAACAGACAACTAGAGAAGGAAGTTATCTATCATATGTTCAATCACATCTGCACCATCTGAATTTAGCCAATAGGTCTTCACCTAAATTAAAAACACAATAAATAAAATAAGCTCAATAGGACACTAGAAAGAAATTCCGAACAAGTATGTGCTACATAATTGCACAGCAGCCAACAGACCAAACAAGTATGTGATAAATGGACTTTGGGCCTAACTCAGCCCCAAAAGCTAGCTTATGAGTTGAGGATTGCCCAAGATCATATAAGGAGACCAAAGACCTCAAATCCCTCCGATGTGGGACAAACAACTCAACACCCCCACCCCCTCACGCCCAGGCATGCAAACTGGAGCGTGGACAACATAAATGGGGCCCAACATCGGTAACAGTAAGTGGGATGGACCTGGCTCTGATACCATGATAAATAGACCTAGGGCCTAACTCAACCCCAAAAGCTAGCTTATGAGGTGAGAATTGCCCAAGACCATATAAGGAGACCAAAGACCTCAAATCCCTCCGATGTGGGACAACTAAACAGCATGAACTCTCGTATTCTCACAACAAAAGTTCTTCACTCCATATCCTTTGCCTAGAATGTAAATGAAGATTGAAAAACCAAAGAGAACAGTTTCCTTAATATATACCAAACTACCGTATCTCTGAACATTCATCCTTTTGAATAACCAAAGAAAAGGCATAGCATTTACAGTTGAAGCTAACAGTTTTTAGCAAAAGGTTTGAACAATCTACTAGACCCAAAACTTTAAAAAATTTAAAATGTCAAACACATAAGTCTTAAGGAAAAAAAATATGTTACAATACACACGGCTTGACTAGAAAATACCAGCAAGAATAATGAACCTAAAGCTTACCTGGATAGTATTGTGTGCAACGTATCGTTGTCTGCTTTCGTGAAAGCTAACATCAATTCGTTCCCATGGTACTTGTGTAAGACCGTCAATCATCTCCTCTAGATGGGCAAAAAGAAAAGCTCTATGAGAACCCCAAATGAAGCAAAAGCCCCGAGCAGCAAATAATCACATAGAAGATATTACCAAAAGAAGAAAAGGACGGACAAAAGAGGAGCTGAAAACCGGAAAAAATGTAACTGTCAATAAGAAGTAAAATTAGTAATAAACGAGGTCCTATTTCTAAAACCTCCGGGAGCAGCATGTCAAAAGAATGAATAGCTTTATTACGTAATCCTGCTATAGTGCTATTAGTTATCGTAATCTGCCTGGAAATAATAAAGGACTAACTAGATCATATCACAAACAATCTTGGCATAGTAGAAAGTGACCTCAGTTTACCGAAATCTTTTATTAATCTACAAGTGAATGTTGCTATCCTGCTACTAGTCAAAAACCTGTACATATCAGAATTTACTCCTAAAAGTTTTTCCTTTTGGGATGAAAATATTACCAAAGTAAAGGAAAACTCAAGCAACATCAAACAATTTCTCTGGCTCTCTGCCTGTGGGAACAGAAAGCATCACAGATATCCAATAAGAAAATAATAAATATCATAACCTTTATTACCAAAAAGGTGTGAGGCACATGTGTTAAACTAGAGGTAAAGTGAAAAATGAAGTAATGTCTTTTTATTTTATTATTATTTTACACTCATTTTATTTCTTTTGAGTGGGGGCTGGGCACTCTACCAAAATAGAGTAAGAGGGTTTACAAACCTTCTAAATCAGTCATTTGCTTCTCATCCGATGAAGATACTTTATGGTCAATATCCAGAGCAGTTTCTTGCTCAACATTTACGATATGTGGGTATTTCTGATCCTTTATTTGAAGGTTAGACTGGAGAAGAATGAAAAGAAATCCAGTTACATATACAAGAAGAACAAATTAGTAGTTAAACAGATAATGCAGCTCAGTCAATGGAATACCAACCTTTGGAAGTTCATTCTGACGGCGGATTGACGATGTTCTCCATCCAACAACATCTTATAGATGTGTTAAGGATAAAATAAATTCCAACTTTGGTGAATCCCATATAATCATATGTCACAACATAGTATTCACATGGTATGTAGAAAAAATAGCAGCAGGAGAACGATAAGACAAAGGATTCTAGAGAATGGCGCTCAAGGAGAAGCCGAGATTATTCTATGAAGAATCTAAAGAAGGAAGAGATGGAAAATTTGAACCAAAGTGTTTTCCGCGGAGCGAGAATAGCGTTTGGGATGATCAACAGGCATGAACCAAAGACTGCAGGTAATTGATGAGAATTATCCTGCTTATTAAAATAAGTAATTTTAGACCAAAAAATAAATAAAAGTATCCCTTTAAACTTTTAAATGAGACAGTTACACAATACTTCAGGCATCAAATAGAGGTTCTGGGCTAAACTCACCACCATCTATCAACCAAATATCTTCACGTACTTGGCCCGAAAAGAATTAGGCATCCACATGAAGGAGAGTGTTCCAGACCAAAATTTAATAAGTACAATTTAAACTTTTAGACAACAATTCAGACAATTCATTAGGAAAAATTTAAGCACACAATCAAAAACCGTCAAGGTTATTGATGGACAAGACCTAAAACTGCTTTTATACCCTCATATATCCAATATAGGACATTGTAACTCAACACCCTCCTGATTATATAGCCTAATTTTGGGTTCACGCATGACTTAGATGAGGATTTAGTCATGTCAAAAGAGGCTTAACAAATGTTGGTGCAGACACAAAGCGAGAAATTAGAGAAAAGACAGAATATGTACAGACACAATTCAAGA